TCAAGATGCCTTTTTTTATCCATTATTGGTCTGAGTGATGATTTGTTCTTGTTCAAGGCTGAATATTCATCACTTACTTATTAGTTTACTTATCCAAGTTGAAAAAAGAATCTAATCTAAATCTTGTTTTTGGTCTTGATCATCATTTTAAGTGGTTTACTTTTACTTATTTACTCTTATTTTCTATGATTGTTATAGGTTGATAATATTTTGGAAATTTTAGTATCTTGTGTTGGTTATACTTTAATTAGCTGCTTCTTGTTTGGAAGTTGACTTTTTAGCTACTTATCTAATGTACCTTAGAGTCTCTTAACAGCCTTTCTTGATGAATGATAATCTTAATTGTAATAATTTTGTGTCTTTTGTCCACAGATGTTGGACAAATACTCTCTGAAGCACGGCATCGATGGCTTCGTCCTCCTGAAATCTGTGAAATTTTACAGAATTACCAAAGATTTCAAATTTCTACTGAGCCACCTACTACACCATCAAGTAAGGGTTTTTTTTATCTTGCTCAGCTCATGTACAGCTCAAGTTTTTTCCTTTATAAACATTCAGTGTAGAATGAAACTCAAAAGGTGTAAGACTGATGATGTTCATGCTAAATCTCTGTCTCTTTTCAGGTGGGTCTGTTTTTATGTTTGATCGAAAGGTGCTCAGATATTTCAGGAAAGACGGTCACAATTGGAGGAAGAAAAAAGATGGAAAGACTGTGAAAGAAGCTCATGAGAGGTTGAAGGTAGTAAATAGAACATTTATTTTACTTTGTAGTTCTTTGGGGAGTATGATCAAAAGAGAATTGCACCTTGTGATTCTTTGATCCGATATGATTGTAATATCATCAAGATGTTGATATCTTGCTCATGAATATCCATGCAGGCGGGAAGCGTTGATGTTCTACATTGTTACTATGCGCATGGACAAGACAATGAAAACTTTCAAAGACGCAGTTACTGGTTGCTTCAGGAGTAAGCTTATTATAGCATTATGACTTTTACATCATTTGCTTGTGATCTTAAACTATTATGATAGATTCCCTTTCTCTCTCTCCTCTTATTTGTTAATTCAACATGAAGTGTATTACCAAATAGTTAATGTGTTCGAAGTTGACAAGAACACAGCACCTTTACTAAGTCTCTTGTTTTTTTTTGTTGGTGACTAATGCAGAGAGCTTTCCCACATAGTTTTTGTCCATTATCTCGAAGTTAAGGTTGGACCCCATCCTGTTAATTGCTAACTACTCTGCCTCACTCGTTTTCTTTCGAGGAAGTTGACATTCTGAGAGTGAAATTTGTAATTGAATCAGGGTAGTAGAGTTTCTACATCTTATAACCGGATGCAAAGGACTGAAGACACTGCTCGGTCTCCTCAAGAAACTGGGGAAGCCTTGACCAGTGAACATGATGGTTATGCTTCTTGCAGCTACAATCAAAATGATCATAGCAATCATTCACAAACTACCGACTCAGCAAGTGTCAATGGTTTTCACTCTCCAGAACTTGAAGATGCTGAATCAGGTGATTCTTCTTTCATACATGATATCACAACTACCTATTGAAGATTCCTTACTTAATTGGTCTCTTATCTTATGCATATTACATATATTCATTCTGCAGCATACAATCAGCATGGAAGTTCTATAGTTCACTCTCATCAAGAATTTCAGCAGCCTGCGATAGGAGGAAGCCTTACTGGGTTTGATCCTTACCATCAAATCTCTTTGACGCGTAAGTTCTTGGTGACCTGGTTTTAGTTCTTTTGTTCTATCCAGTAAAAGCACAAGTTCCAAATAACTATCTGATACCTCCAACGTCATATGGTTTCTTACCTTTTTAGCAGCCAGGGATAGTTATCAAAAAGAGCTTCGCACAATCCCCGTAACTGATTCTTCAATTATGGTAGACAAATGCAAAACTATCAACAGTCCTGGAGTAACAAATGGGTTAAAAAACAGAAAATCCATTGATTCCCAAACCTGGGAAGAGATTCTGGGAAATTGTGGTTCTGGAGTTGAAGCCTTACCTTTGCAGCCTAACAGTGAGCATGAAGTGCTGGACCAAATACTCGAAAGCTACTCTTTTACAATGCAAGATTTTGCCAGTCTACAAGGGTCCATGGTCAAAAGCCAGGTATACACAATTCTGATGGAATCAAGCTCAATTTCTGCATTCCTCTTCCTCGGTTGTGCTGCTGAGTGTTTTCTATGTATTCTTTGAGTATCTGAATACTTTTTCGCTTTCAACATCTGCAGAATCAGGAGTTAAATTCAGGACTTACATCTGATAGTACTGTGTGGTTCCAAGGACAAGGTTTACACTGCACTCAGCTTGTTTTAATATAAGGTTGGAATTTATTTGTACTTAAAAGCCAACTTTCAATTTTTTTTTGTATCAACTACAGATGTTGAGCTAAATGCTATAAGCAATCTAGCTTCGAATGAAAAAGCTCCATATCTATCTACGATGAAACAGCATCTGTTAGACGGTGCATTGGGCGAAGAAGGTTTGAAAAAGATGGACAGTTTCAACCGCTGGATGAGCAAAGAACTTGGCGATGTTGGTGTTATAGCTGATGCAAACGAGTCCTTTACTCAATCAAGTTCGAGAACCTACTGGGAAGAAGTTGAGAGTGAGGATGGGTCCAATGGTCACAACTCTAGGAGGGAGTTAGATGGATATGTTATGAGTCCTTCCCTCTCAAAGGAACAGCTCTTTAGCATCAATGACTTCTCTCCAAGCTGGGCATATGTGGGTTGTGAAGTGGTGGTAAGCACTGTTGATCAATTTATCTTTTCAGGGAGTCATAAGATAGATTTGTTCTTATTTTCTTTTGCAAAAAATTTAGGTTTTTGTCACTGGAAAATTCTTAAAGACTCGGGAGGAGACTGAAATTGGCGAGTGGTCTTGCATGTTTGGGCAAACAGAAGTTCCAGCAGATGTTATATCTAATGGTATTCTCCAATGTGTTGCTCCTATGCATGAGGCTGGAAGAGTTCCGTTTTATGTAACATGTTCCAACAGATTGGCATGCAGTGAAGTGCGTGAATTCGAGTATAAGGTTGCCGAGTCTCAAGTTTTTGATAGAGAAACAGATGATGAGTCTACTATTAACATTCTTGAGGCAAGATTTGTTAAACTGTTGTGCTCGAAATCTGAAAGCTCAAGCCCTGTTTCCGGGAATGACAGTCATTTGTCCCAATTGAGCGAGAAGATCAGTTTACTGCTTTTCGAGAACGATGACCAGTTGGATCAGATGCTCATGAATGAAATCTCCCAAGAAAATATGAAAAACAACCTTTTGCAGGAATTTCTGAAAGAAAGCTTACACTCATGGCTTTTACAAAAGATAGCAGAAGGTGGAAAAGGTCCAAGTGTTTTGGATGAAGGTGGCCAAGGTGTATTACATTTTGCAGCTTCTCTTGGTTACAACTGGGCCTTAGAACCAACAATAATCGCCGGTGTAAGCGTTGATTTCCGCGATGTAAATGGTTGGACCGCACTTCATTGGGCAGCTTTCTTTGGCAGGTGAGTTACTTCTAGTAAGTGTTCACTAATTCATCTTCTTTTTCTTTGACATTTGTAATTGAAACAAAGGTATTTTCGTATTCAGGGAGAGGATAATTGGTTCACTCATAGCTCTTGGTGCTGCTCCTGGAACATTAACTGACCCAAATCCAGATTTCCCATCAGGAAGCACACCTTCCGATCTAGCCTATGCTAATGGTCACAAAGGAATTGCTGGTTATCTCTCAGAATATGCCTTAAGGGCCCATGTTTCTTTGCTCAGTCTAAATGATAACAATGCGGAAACTGTTGAGACCGCTCCTAGCCCATCCAGCTCATCATTGACAGACTCGTTGACAGCTGTACGTAACGCTACACAGGCAGCAGCTCGGATTCATCAGGTTTTCAGGGCCCAGTCTTTCCAGAAGAAGCAACTAAAAGAATTTGGAGATAGAAAGCTTGGAATGTCAGAGGAGCGTGCTCTTTCAATGCTTGCTCCTAAAACACACAAATCAGGACGGGCGCATAGTGATGATTCCGTGCAAGCCGCAGCTATCCGGATTCAGAACAAGTTCCGCGGTTACAAGGGAAGAAAAGACTATTTGATTACCAGACAAAGAATCATCAAAATACAGGTGCGTAATGTTTTGATAAAACCAAACCAAAGTTCTTGATTCGTTTAAGGTATATCAAATTCTTAACGGTTTTAAACTGGCAATGGTGCAGGCTCATGTGAGAGGTTACCAGGTTAGGAAAAACTACAGAAAGATAATTTGGTCAGTGGGGATATTAGAGAAGGTGATATTGCGTTGGAGACGGAAAGGAGCTGGTTTGCGCGGGTTTAAGTCAGAAGCACTTGTTGATAAGATGCAAGACGGAACAGAGAAAGAAGAAGACGATGATTTTTTCAAACAAGGAAGAAAGCAAACAGAGGAAAGGCTACAAAAAGCTCTTGCAAGAGTGAAATCAATGGTTCAATATCCTGAAGCTAGAGATCAATACCGTAGATTGCTAAATGTTGTCAACGACATCCAAGAAAGCAAGGTAACTATACGAATAAACTAACCTTAATCTCCTTAGAATTAACAAAACTGAACAATCTTGATTCTTAACCTTTGGTTTATAGGTCGAAAAGGCTCTTGAAAATTCAGAAGCAACATGTTTTGATGACGATCTGATAGATATTGAAGCATTGTTGGAAGATGATGACACATTGATGTTGCCTATGTCCTCATCTATGTGGACCAGTTAAACCACTCCCAAGCTTTATTGTGTGATATTGTGTCACAGTTTTATTGACTCATTAAACTTGTAAATTCTTATGTAATCACTCTTCTCATATTCTGTAACTGCATTCATTACTCTAATTTAAATGATATATTTGAAACATAAATCAAACTTATATAACCAAAATAGTAACCTTGTAGTTAAAACTGTACATGGTTGATTTCATTAAGTATACAAACTTTCTGTCTTTTAGCGTTAAAGGAAACTTGACTTTTTCTTTGCAAGTCACAAAATAGCTTGGAAGAGAGACACGAGAGGAGAGAGGTTATGTTCTTGTCAAATGACTAAAAGCCCTTTTCTCTATCTTGTTCCAAGGCTCTCGTATAACAAGATGTAGCCATGATCAGTATTGCTTGAGTACTCTTGCGATGAACCGAAGAACGTTTGGACAGCAGATTCTTCAATCATTTCAACAGTCTCATCATCAAAGAAGAGCCAATGGTTATGTGATGACCATGGTTGGGTCCACTTCCGACATGCACCACGACTGCGAAGAGAGAGTACTCAATGTCCACATATTCATCCACTGTGTTGCTGAGTTTCAGTTCCAGAGGGAAGACGACTCTGTACGATAGCTTCTTGTAGCGGCCCAACTGTTGGATATATTTAAACCGTTTCAGATGTATAACTAAGATGTGTGGCGGTTTCTTGATCTTCATTCTCTTCTGCGCTTCTTGTAAACTGCACAAAATAGAATAAAACAGTTTCAGTCAGGAAACCGAAAGAACTTGTACGGTATTTTGAACGATGCAATGCGGGAACAGTATTTTTTACCTGCAGCATTTATCACAGCAAAATTTGTCAAAAATGAAAAGCCAAAAATGCACTGATATATGCCATTTATGATAAAGCACCTTGCCTGAAAAATCTTGTGCACCCAAGTAACAATTGGCTCTTAATTTATGAACACCATTTGCCTGGGGAGCTTTCAGTCAATTTGCAATCTTTTCATTGTCCGTTTTTGTAGCTTGCGTCTCTTTCTCTAAGATCTCAACAAGTTCATTAAGCAAATAATTCAGGAACTCATGTGCATCCTGCATGAGAATAGTAACATACAAAAACATATATTACTTCTCTTACAATTTGATTATCCTCATATAAGAAGATATACAGTTACGCAAAATACCTGATGCATATAACTCCGGAAAAGCTCATTCTGCATCTTCAACCTCTGTACAAAGCTAGCGCTTGGGAGCAATAACTCCAGTTTTCTTCTTCTGGGAACTTATCTATGTGGAAAAGGAGCAATAAAATTAGCAGACTTAATGTGACGCTTCTTTGAATAAGTGAGCATCTCCGCGATTATCAAGTAGAAGATGACACAAAGAAGTGATGAACATTAAGCAAACACAGCTGCAAAGCCATAGTTTCAACACTGGCCAAGTAAAACAAAGCAAACCAGCATGTGTAACAATAACCAAGCAGTATAGACTTCTCAAAAGGAAACTAGTACCCAAAATGTGATGTGCCACAATAAAAAATGATATTGAAAGATGAGAATAACCTGCGAAAACAAGTCTGCCAAGCAGGTCAAGAGATTCTCCTGAGCATCAGCTTGATCATTTGCATAATGTTGAAGCAATAGTTCACGAATCCTGGAAACTCTTGCACAAACATAGAATGTAAAACAGACCTAAGATCAACAAACTTTTCATTTAGGCTATATAGTATAAGCTACCATATCTTAAAAACTGATGATGCACATGGTTCTTCTGTACAGGTTAGCCCCTCTAGGACTAGAAGAAGTCTCTACATTTACTTCAAAATGAAACCTTTTGTCAGTAAATCGAATTCACAAGATACATAGAAAATTCCCATTCCTCAGAGCTAATCACTAACTACGCATTTTTCAATAGAAGGAGAAGGAGACCTGCAAAACACTGTTACAGTAACAAGTGTTGCCGAAATTTTCGAATCCTAAGTATCGTTCTCCTTCCGGGAACTGGTCGCCCAGAGCTTTCTCGAGTTTGGACCCCAAAGTGTTGAAAATTGGCGAAGAAGAATTAACGGAAACTTGTGTTGAGTATTTTTTAATTTAACATTAATATATTATATGCTACTTAAATAAAATTATCCTCTATATTTTAATCTAAAATATTTTCAAATTAAATAAGTTTGGCTGTTATGAATTTATAAAGTGAAGGAAAAAAGATATTTAGCTACATGAAGTATAACGGAATACATGGCTACACATGCCAAGTTTAGAAATTTACAACCAACTACACGAACTAAATGTATTGCATGCCCACATATACCAACTATATGACGACATGTAGTCAACATCACGAACATCTTATTCCGGTACACTAATCGTTGAAATCCGGCGTTGACCATCGTTGACCGGCATTGACCAACAAAAATATGCAAAAAAATTATTTTTATTTATTTTAATATTAAAAACAAAACTAATACATATTAAATTCAAAATAAAGATATTTTGTATATATATTTAATATATTGATTATTATAATTAGTTAGTTTTTTCAATTTAAAAACTAAAATAAAAGTGAAATAAAAATAATTAAGCGAATTACTTATTTGTACATTGTCAATAAAAAACATTAACTTCTTATTTTACAAATGCTTTTGCTAAAATCAACATCGTTAGATTTTCTATTTTCTATATATTAAAAAGAAACATTGCGAATTTTTTTGTTATTTACGCGTTATTACGAGAATTTGTTTTAATAATTTTAATTACAAAAATTTAACAATATATTAAATTTAGACTAAAGAATATATAAAATTTTCTATATATCTTTTTTATGTATTATGATTTTGATTTTAGCAAAAAAACTTTATATATTTTTACCATGCAAAATTTAGACTAAAGAGTCATATACCCAATTTTTTGTAATAGATTTTATTTATTTCGCTTTTAGTTTAGTTTTGAAATTGAAAAAATTAACTAATTATTATTATCATACAAAATATATATATTTTAAAAATATAGAATGTGTTTTTTTATTATTATTATACAACACCATAACCGATTCTATAGAATAATTCTTTTTAAAAACATTTAAAATAAATAAAAATATATATTTTTGAATATTTTTATTGGTCAATACCGGTCAACGATGGTCAATGCCGAATTTTGATGATTAGTGTACCGGAATAAAATGTTCGTGATGTTGACTATATGTCGTCATATAGTTGGTATATGTGGGCATGCAATACATTTAGTTCGTGTAGTTGGTTGTACATTTTTAAACTTGGCATGTGTAGTCATGTATTCTGTTATACTTCGTGTAGCTGACTATCTTTTTTCCTAAAGTGAATTGAAATTTGGAAGAGATTTGATTTATTCAAAGCTGCCTAATTTGTCAAATCAATTTTCTTTCATGGTATTGTTGCTTCAAGAAAAATAATTTCATTTAGCTCACAATTGTTAATTATGCATATATAAAATATTATAAGAAAAATATCTGTTGGAATTGGATAATTTTTTTTTTTTTTATAATTAACTAACCTTAATTTATCTACTTAGTTTCTCCTTTTTCAAAATCATATTTTTGTCTTCAGGTATTTTGGCTGTAATGTTATGGAATAATAATAAACTTTTCCTAACCCACAGCTAAATAAAACTAGATGACAAAAAAACCATTAAAACTATTATAATTCAGTGATAAGAATTTTTAGAGGGGGCAATGTCAATTATTCTTTGGATGTGGTTATTCTGCACAATCAAAATAAATATTTGGTGTAATTTGTTAAATAATATAGTATCAAGGTGGATATGTGTACAATACACATCATTGAGGACAAAATTCCAAATGTTTACATTTTCTTTGTTATGAGCAACCGTTTTATTCCGATTTTAAACCTTCCCGTTGAACGTAGTTGTCGCCACCCTAATGTTTTCACGAGCCAAAGCCTAGATTCACAAAAAAACTAAATACCATTTTTTTTGTGTGGTCATCAAGTATTCGAGTGAGATCAATTTGTGTGTATGTTTCATTACGCTATAGTTTGAATAGGTTAATAGACCACTACGATGATCAGTCGATGACGTGGGCTCGAGAAGATTAGTATTACTACTTTCAATCTGCAAATGGTCTTCTCTTCAACTTTGAGAGAGTGTCACGAGAATGTTGTTAGTTCATATTGTTTTTCGTTCCATGTATTTGACATTGTATTTTCAATTTTTTGTCAACCAAAGTATTTGACGACATTTAAAATTCAATTCAGACGGTTTGATTTTTTGAACATTTCACGTGATATCTTTTGGTGATGAATTCAGGGGAGAAGCCAGAGAAACCACACGTCCGTACATGCCTATATATAGTAAGGTCATTAGCCACACGTACCTACTCATCAAACAAGAAGTCGAACTCAAAAGGTTCCAAGAAAATACTAACAAAGCAAACTACATTTTAAGATCACTTTCTCATTTAATTGCATGGGTTCGATGGAGGCTTTAGCGATGGCGGGAGTGGATTATCAAGAATGGGGACTTTGTATTGAAGAATGGGAGCTTCAAGAATCTGTAGTTCCGCCCCATTTGATTGCTGATGATTTTGAAGAAGAAGAACTTCGAGACAAAGATGATGATGATGATGATGATGATAGAGGTTTAGATGGCTTAGCGGTTAAAGAATCTGTCACTTGTGACATTAGAGCTTCGGTTGGGAAATTGATTGAGCAATCTATCTCACATATGATTGTTCACCTCAAACAGCTTAAGTTCTTAACACTTCTTCTTGAGAACTTTTTGTTTAGCCATGTTCTTGATTTTCTTTTGTAATTGTCTTCACAAGTCCTTTTTTTGGGGGGGGTTGTCAACCGGTTTAAGAGTTTTGTTTTCATAAAAGAGTACCGAGTTAAATGTAATGTAAGTATTTTATTTGTTCGTCACAAAAAAATGTACTGTAAGTACTAGTATTCATGAGTTTTGTTATATTATAGAGATTCAAGTAAACCTAACGTATGAATCTTGTTTGGCATTATTTGTTCTATAAGAAAGCTCAAAATCAATACCAAATAGAACAAACGAAATATCGAATCGGAATCTGAAATCTCTTTCAATAATTGTAAAACCCGAAAAGAAGGTTCCGGAAAAAAAGAAAAGAAAGATCAAAGCAAACCCGAATTATCAACCATATAAAATTATATACTATGTTATAATTTTACAAAGATATCTTGACTCTTAAAAATTGAGTTCTATTTAACATTAATTTGGATTAGGGCCATATTATGTGTGTTATATGCTTTCACGTTTAATTATTACATTTAAGCGCACAAAAGGGAAAAGTCTCGTTTTCACGTTCCACATCATTGAAACGAAACGATTAAAAAATACTTTTCGTGTCTTTAATATTCACGTGAATCTTGACGTTGGTGTTAGTATGAAGGGTTTCTATTATAGTATATGAGAACACACCATGACGTTTGCATCAATACGTAATATCTTACGCATATGAAATTGGTACCATTTTACATTTAAAATCTTGTGTTCCACATTGAATATTAGTTTTGTGATCGGATTTAAATTCACCTAAATCGATAATCAATAGGATGGATAAATCGATAAGAAGAAAACTTGTTTGCCAATGAGTAATAGGCAAAACAATTTCAACAATTGGGTTACAGATCATGTTTCTGTCTACGAAATATGTCATTTACTCATTTATATGCTCCATAAACGATTTTTCACAATCCAAAGTTGTTTTAGCTCTTCAATTTGATATTTTTGGAAACATTTAAATTATATATTTGGATAAGCTGATAAATGGAAAGAAAAATATGAAAGAATATGAAAGAAATATGAAAAAAAAAACCATATGAAAGAAATAGATGAAAGATGGTATGTATTATTAAAAGAATGATCAAACGAGTTGGTATGTATCATCCGAAGAATGATCAAAGGACTTTCGGACAACCAACCAATGTCAAGAACTATGATCTTATAATATAACACAAAGCTATAAATTAACAGAAAACATTGTATATCAACAAAAGTAACTAAAACCAAAATTTATATTGTCCGTTTAAAAATATTCCTTTCGTGAAAACTTACAGATTGAATAAATAAATGGGAATAGACAAAATGTGCAAGATCCCATTTGTTAAAAGATTATACTAAACTAAAAAGTTTTCTTTTTAAAAGAAAAAAAGGTTGACCCACATTATCTTGTAACATTAAAACAAATATACGAAATACAATTATTTATTTATGTTTTCATGAAACTTTTTTTATTGTTAAATTCAAAATAATCTTATTATGTTAAAATTATGTCAACTAAATAAAATTTTTAAAAAATTTAATTAATAACTTTAGGATCTAAACTTGCTTTGGACTAGAACTTTGTTTGTGTTGTGAACTGACTCTTTCATTAATAGCAAAATATATATATACAAGGCTAATAGCAGGATACATAGAATAAGGTAAAACCCTAATGGACCAGTTATGGAGTACATCCATATGGTTTATAACACTTTGGACTATTTTGGAGAAATAGTTTTTTTTTTTTTTTTTTCTTTATGGCCGGTATTGGAACTTTTAATTTTCAAGGTGATTTCCCTTTATGTAGCCAACTAGTATGACTTTTAAGCTATTGACGATGTTGAATACAAAATTTGTTCTAATTAAAATCAGAATTTGAAATTCATTGGAAACAAAAGTAAGATAATTAAACTCTATCTTATTTATGACTTTTTTTAAAAAAACATTTTATGAATTTTTTTTTTAAATAACTAGCTAAAAAGGTGAATATTAGGGGAAGTGAACAAGATTCATTTTCGTATGGAAATTTATATCCTTACAAACAGAAAATCTAAAAGCTATCCATTGTTGTTGGTGAGATCGAACTTCGGCCACATTTTCCTATGGAAGCCCATCTTGAAATCGAACTCAATAATGTAACAAATGGGTCGCTGCCAAAAAAAGAAGACAGATTTGGTATGAAATAAAAATAGTGAAATCTGAATTTTCGTTTTTGGTAAAGAAATAGTGGAATGTGATAGGTGAGCTATGGTAGTTGGAACACGTTTACTTCATTCTTACGTACGTATATACAAAGACAATTATATCCAGTTATCTACTATGGTTGTTGCCTAAGCTCTAAAGCATCTCACAATCGCATAAAGACAATTGTATCTACTATTGTTCCCATATATGCACCTTTTTATCAAATCCTAATACGAGTGGATGATTTATGCTATCTTTATGTCGTTGTGGATGTTGAAATCTGGTTATGGTGACTATAAATGGTGAAAGAACAAATTGGAATCAAAGCTTTTCGTTGATTAGCACAAAATCGAACAAAAAGAGCTCAAAATATGTTGAAAATGTTATTTGTCATGAATTACATTTTGATTACTAAAATGGAATGCTCAGAAAAGTATTTTTTTCATTAATATCATCAAAGGTTAGAATTGTAACCTCTCTAGCTCCATATCCGTTCTTTATTTAATTTCGAGATTCGACTGTTTTGTACGGGTGCAACGGTTTTCAAGTGCTATGGCTTCCTCGCCAGTTCGTATGGGCTTTACTCTTCACTTGTCTTTGATGCTAATGGACTTTTATTCTGTCAGATGTGTGCAAAACCGTACACCAACAATATGCCCTCCAGTTTTGCTAACTGTTATGCTCGGAAAACTAATTATTGCTTAGCTGAAATCATATCTCATCAAATATTTGTATCCTGCAAATCCATATCTCGTCAAACTAGCTGAAAATGATTAGAATTCTGACAGAAGTTCGACAATGTGCACATGCTTCTCGAGACATATTTCTATAGAAGAGTCATTTCCACTAACTTCATGTGCTTTTATTTCGTAACGTATGTCTTTCAAAGTCTGTGAAGGTAAATCACTCTATGCTTCACTTGTTCGGTCTCGCTACGAATTGTTTTTAGAATTTGATTAGTGCTTAAGAACTAAGATTAAGTTGCTTACACAACAACAACAATAATAGCTTAAATCATTATTGGGCGACATGCTCTGTTCTAAATCCTTATCAACCTTATAATTCCTTTGTCGGAGTTGGAGATAACAAAATTCCCAATTTGCCTTTAGTCCATAACTTGAAACTGCCAGCAAGGCGAGCATGTGGCAGAATTCTTTTTTATGTGAGGGAATAACTTTTTTGTTTATCAAAAGTGTTTTTGGGATAAATTAGATTATTTCTACAGTAAATAAAATTATTTACTAATCACGTGCCATATCTTTGAACCTTGGTAGGTTGGTACTTGGTAGGTACGTAAAAAACCTAGTATATTATTTAATTTCATAAGTTGGACTGTTTGGTTTTAAACCTCGTTTTGCTGATCTGGCCGATTAGCACAATGTTTGTAAACGTAAGATATCGTGTTACGATATTAGGATTTGAATACAATTAATACTCTATAAATTTGCGGCTCGAAAGGTCAAACGAAATTCGCCATAAAAATTTGTTATCAAAAAAAAAAAAACTAGGAACTAGATTAGCTAGGTGGCTGACTAAGCCAATTTCATAACATTCATAATTGCAATGCAATCTTCGTTTTGCTTTTCTTAGTTAAACATGCGCACCCACCATATATTGGGCTATTAAACGATAATCATGCACATGTGTATCATGTATGGACCATGATGTGTACTCGATGTTGGGTATTTATCTATCAATATGTATAGACCAGCATTAATGCATGCATGTAGTTAGGTTTTTATAATTATAATAGCTACTGCGGTTTGATCAACGATGGTTGTTTACTTGTTTAGTGGTTTATGAGTGAGTTATTTGGAGTTAGGAACTAGAGTTTGAATCCTCCATATAAAAAGTTTAAGAGACTAGATTTTGTATCCGCGCGTTGCGCGGGATTTTAATTTAAAATTTCTTCTATTAATATAAATTTTGAGCATAAAATCTAATCATTAAAATTTAAAAGATAATTTTTTGAGCATAAATATAATAATTCAAATTTTAAAAGATAAATCTATATAAACACTAAACTTATTTTACCAAGCGATATATAAAATATATATTATCGACGATAATATTTCTTTGACAAATAAATAATTTGATATATATCACGTGGTAACAAAGATCACTTAAGAAATTCGCGGAAAGAATAAACGGTATCAACACTCTAAAAGAGTTTCTTTCTTATTCATATTCCATGAAGGTATTTCTTAAAAGTTTTGATATTAATTATCGACTGTTGACCTAATTGTAGATATTATTTATGATTAAACGTTGATACGAACATAACATCATTCCATATAATATATGAATATACTGAGTTTCATGAACATTATTTAGTGTAAAGGAACATCTATAATATCATGTTACTATAACCGGTTTAGCGAGCTTGATTTACCCATCAAAGCTAGTGCAACAATAAGAGAATTCCCGACTAAGTCATCAATGTGCCTATCTTATTTTACTTTCCATGATTACATGGCCAAACGGTTAAACTCAACTGTGAATCTAATAATTTGTTTAATAATAATGTATGTCATGTATTTTCTAAGAACTCATTCGTTTCACACAATGAATGAGATCTCAAAGATACATTAGTCATGTGCATTATCTTTTTAAGTTTTAGAAATTTATTTTCAAACTCTTTTAACTACCAGTTCTTTCGTCATCTTCTATGATGCAATCGTTGCCTCTCGACACCTACTTTCTTTTCACCTTCTATTGACTTACACATAATATATATTGGACTGTGAATTGATTTTCAAGACTATTAATGAGAGGATAACGATTTGTGTTTCTTTAGCAATTAGTTACAAATTTGTGTAATAATATTTTGTATATACATTGAGTCAAAAAAAATAAATTCAAAAAGATATTTTAGAGATCGTAGGGATACGAGGAAGAATAAATTTTTTTAATTTTTGTTTTTTTTTGTCGTAAAATGGTTTTAAAAAATAAAAAAATAAAAGAGTAGAATTTGAGACTTAAGACAGGTGTCAAA